CTTAGTAGTTATTTTTTTTAATAGAAGTTTTTTGGATAATAAAATTAATAATAATAATAATAATAATAATAATAATAATAATAATAATAATATTATTATTATTATTATTATTATTATTATTATTATTATTATTATTATTATTATTATTTGAATTATTGTCACCTTTTATGTGTGATGTAGGCCAGTTGTCTTAGTCAAATGTATGCCATTTTCTAACATTTCTATTTCTTGTTATAGTTAATTCTTTATTATCACAGTTACAGTTTATTTTTCTAGTTGTCAAATTATTATTTTATTTCTGGACTACTACCATACTATCATCCCAATTTACAAAGATCATTAGAGGGAATCCCGTCACTATTGTAAGATCCCCACCCCAAGGCTAATAGATTCTGGATATTTTATGTCACTTGAAATGAAGTATTTTTAATATTCTTCCATTTATTTCAGATAGCATTTTTTTTAGGAAATGATTTGTTTTTAGCATGAGCGATCATACATAAGAATTATGGAAAGTAAAACAAACTTAAGGTTTAAAATTGAATTATTTTCCAGTTTTAATTTTTTCCAAGGTTTTTGCAAAGAATATGAACGTTTTTAAATTATAAAATTAAATTATAAACTTGTGATTTCTTTTTTTATAAAAATTGTTTATTAACTTCAGCAATATCTTTCACAATGTTGAATTACTTCTATTAATATGCTGTCATTTTGAAATGATTTATCATTTCAGCTAATTTTTCTTTAAAGAAAATATTACCAATAGAAGTTTTGTTTATTAAGGCTGGCAGATGAAGCATAAAAAATAAAAGAATAGAATGTAAAAAGTTGAATATATTATAATAGAATTATGACTGAATAATTTACCACTTGTTTTATTTTTTGTCCCTGTATTTAGCAAAGGATACAAATTAAAATTGATTTTTTGAAATTCTTTAAAGATTCATGCTTAACAAACAGCATACATATCATACGATTGAGTCCAGACTTGTTATTTTTTATTTTACTGGATTAATAAGCTTGCATTAAATTAGTTTGCAAAATCTTTGAGTATTTGACTTTTAAATTACTCCAGGGCAGATAATGTTAAAGAACTTATCTTGTATGTACATGTGTATTGAATTAGAGTCTTGCATAGTTGAATCATTTGCATGTTTTCATATGTGATGGACTCTGTATTGAATTACAGTCTTGCAAAGTGGAATCAGTTGCATGTTTTCATGTGAGATGGGCTTGGTGTTGAATTTACATGACAGAATCATTTGCATGTTTTTATATGTTGGTAAAGAATTAGGTACCATCATCTGTATCTTGAGTCAGCTTAATTTGTTAAAATTGCATACTGACGCAAATTTCTGTAAAAAGCCAGATTTGCGCCAAAAGATCTTGGTCCATCCATTTTAACACTTGATCAGCAGAATAAACAACAATGAGTTTGATATGCCAGTGTATTATTTTGCAATGGCAGATGAAATCTGTGTTGTTTGCAGTTAGATTCCACTAATAAGCAAATAAGTATGGTATATTTGATTGCTCGGCATATTGATTTGCATTTGAAATTTGCTTCTTGTGTTTTTTCTTAGTGATAAATGATATAGAATGGTAGTCAGAGATGGTTGGCTATCTTCCACAACAATCAATATTTTTGATTCCGATATTTAAGCAATGATTTCAGACATTAGGTCACAGATGATAAATATTTTCAAGCATGTGAAAGGATTGATCACAAATACCATATTTTGCTTTAGTATGTATTTTGTTTATGTAAATATTACATGCAACATTATGTATTTCTGAGTCAGGCTTTATAAACACGAACTGTGAGGTCCATTATGTCAAAGGCGGTATTTTAGAATCTCACTTAATGCTCAGATTTTTTTTGTCCTAATCATCTTAATATTTCATACTGCATTATTATCAACAGAAAGGCCTTTACATGCAATCATATACTAGACATATGCTTTGTTATTGATTTTTTAGTTCTACAGGTCATACACTGGATGAGCTTATAGGATGGTCTATTGTCCATCTTCTGTCCATCCATTAGCACAAGTTTTTTATCACTACTCTTGCTAAACTACTAGGAGGGATGCCAAGAAACTTTACACAAACATTCATCCCATCATCTGGTTGGCAAAAAAAATGGTGTTGCTCAGACCTCCAATATGGTTGCTACATTGGCCATCTTGAAACCCTTGTTATTGCTAATGTTTTTAATGAAAATTAATATTGCCATGGGGTTTACACCAGAAATACTTATTATATATTATAGTTGGTTCTAAATGAAAATTGTGCCAATCTGAGGACTACTTCCAAATGAATGGTTGTATCAGTATGGTGTTTTACTAAACAGCTTCCTAATTGGTTCTTATAGTCTCATATAGCCACAGTGGTCATCATGAAATCTTGTTATCACTATTTCTCTCAAATGAATGATTATATCAGTATGGGGTTGTCATTGAAAGACTTTTTATGATGCCTGGCTGGTCATAACTGAAACATGGAGCCAATCCAACATCTAATATGACTGCACAATGACCATCTTTAAAATCTTGTTATCATTATGTTTTCTAAATGGCTGGTCATATCAGCATTGTTCTTTCATCAAAAGACTTAATATGGTATTAATTCATTGACCCCAGGTACAGTGTTTACATGGCAGGAGGTGGTAGCTTACTTCTGAGCTCTGTAGTGTCAAGGTCATGTATGACACAATAAAGTAGGTGGTATTATAGAAAGGTAGACAGATGTAGCTTTATGATTATACCAAATAATATGGATGTTCTAGTTGCCCTACAAAATACAGAGGAAAAAATGTAACTTTTTGGACCAGAGTTTTTTGCAGCCAAAATTCACCCTAGAATGGAATCTGATTTTGTGTCAGGATTTTAGACTTTTTGGCCTCAGATGTAAGACAGACCAAACTAAACTCCACACAGAGAGGTGAACCTTTGTAAAAAGTAGGATAAGATGGGCATTTAGAATAAAGAGTGGTCTCGACATGAAAAGGATTGGTTCATTAAGGTGGCGCTCTACAGTTTCATATTTAGCATAGGGTTAGAATTTTACAGAAAAAGAATTTCCCCCGATTTCCTCACTAGTTATACTTGCTATTTAAAAAACTTTGTATATCTTAGGTATTGTTCAAAGAACCTTTAATTCCCTTTATTTTGGTGTATGATTGATGGGTGTAATATGGGTTAGAGAGTATACAGTTTGGCCTTACTCCAGATGTGCACCTTTCAAAAAAGTGCTAGCTCTACTTGCTCATTTTCACTTTCTGAACTTCAGAGGCAAATTGTACAAAAAAGAGCCAATAACTTTTTTTTTTACATTTTATGTATTTGGTAATTCATTCATTGCACTTTTAGAAGCTCATATTGTCTAGTTTGGCAAAATTCATTTTCCATATTTTAATAGCTGCCAAGGATAGTGTACTTTAGACAAATTCAGGTTGATTTTTTGAGCAAAAGGGAGTAGTCATTTTAGTTAGCAGTGTGTTAAGATGTTTTAAAATTTCCAAAAGTATAATATCCAAAGAAATTTCAACCATATTACATGAAAGTAGCATATAGGTATGCCAACATTCTCTCCACTGTGCATGTTTAAAATGCAAACAACTTCACCGTACATACATACATCACTCTCTCAAAAGTATGTAATAACTGGTGAGTGCCACCTAAGCAAAAAAGAAAAGAAGTCCAACTTTTACCCTTCTGCTCATGTTCAGGCAAAATAGCCAATGAAAAATGATGTTTCTAACAGAATTATTCATTAGGTTAATCTAAAATATCTTGGAGGTTGATGTATTAGGATATATTCAGAAAGAGCCAAAATTGGTTTCCTACTGGCATTTCAGGCAAAAATAACAAAACCTCCAGGGTTTAATGTGTTAAATTGAAATGTTGCCAAACTGATATTGAATACAAAATGGCACAAATTCTTGAAAATCTTGTTATCATTGCTCCTTCAAAATGGAAAGTGTATCAAGATGTGGTATAAACCAGACTTATAATGCCTTGTTAGTCATAAATGAAAATGGTCTCAAGTTGACATAATGTATGTCCACCACAGCAGCTAATTTAATCATGTCATCAATAAAGAATACCAAAAAAAATGGTTACATCATTTAGGAGTTTAAAAGTAAGAAGTGTTTAATCTTAAATGCCTGTTTAGCATCCCATTAGAGGAGCCTGAAATGTCATTGCTCTTTAATTCCTTTTTCATTATATTTTATTTGTATAATGTCCACATGTTGAAGACAAATTTAAAAAAATGTCATTCCTCTCTAATTCCTTTTTCATTATATTTTATTTGTATAATGTCCACATGTTCAAGACAAATTTTAAAAAATGTCATTGCTCTCTAATTCCTTTTCATTATATTTTATTTGTATAATGTCCACATGTTGAAGACAAATTTTTAAAAAATGTCTTAAAATGGATGTGTTTAATTGATAAGGGGTTGTCAAATTTACACTAACGACAAAGTACATATTAATGATAATTAGTGATACATTCGTATATTTAATTTTGACTTCGTTCTTTAAGAAAGAAATAGGTTAAGAAAAAGTGTTTTCATTAAAAAAGAAAGAGGAACATAAAAAGTAACTGTTATTATTATCCAGGATAATTCTGATTAAAATTGAGACTTACACAAATAAAGTGTGACCAATGAGGTTCATGGTGAGCTTTGCAATTCCTAGTCAGTTTTCTTGTTAACAATTTGATTAGATCCTGCATTGCATTTTAATATTGTAGAGTTAGAAATGTCATGTTCCAAACAAAGTTTTTCATTTTCATAAATATGAATGTTCTAATTTGATTAGTGAATGAAAAGGTGAACAGAATATTACCTCATCTGTATCAGATCTCCATTATCTCCAACAAAATATTACCTCATATCAGTGTTAGATCTCCATTATGTCAGACAGAATATTAGGTCCTATCAGTGTCAGATCTCCATTATGTCCAACAGAATATTACATCATATCTTTAACTGCTCCAGTGGCCTAGTGGTTAGAGCGTCCGCCTCAGATTCGGGAGGTTGTGGGTTCAATCCCCGGTCGAATCATACCAAAGACTTACAAAAATGGTACTAACAGCTGCCTCACTTGATGCTAAGCATTAAGAGGTTAGTGTTAGGACTGGTCAGCCTAGTGTCAGGATAATGTGACTTGGTAGGGCATGATGCCCCAGTGCTAGACATCACTATAAACTTGCACACTGCAAACATCATATGATATGGCTGAAAAATTGTTAAAAGCTGCATTAAAAATCATACATCACATCACATCATGTCATATCAGTGTCAGATCTCCATTATGTCCAACAGAATATAATGTCATATCAGTGTCAGATCTCCATTATGTCCAACAGAATATAATGTCATATCAGTGTCAGATCTCCATTATGTCCAACAGATGTTTATTTCAGCAGTTATTCCAGTATAAAAATTGTGCTGATCTAACCTCCAAAATTACAGCCTTCTATGGTTTATGGTTCTATTGACAAAGTCATTTTGCTAAAGGACTATAATAATATATAGGTGGTTCTGAATGACAGTGTGTTAATCTGACATCTAAAATAGTATTATAGTGGCTATTTCATATTATCACCACTTATCATGATGGCATTGACATTTGTCCTTTAGAGTTGTAACTGAAACACATCTTGGAGTATTTATTTACTTTAAAAAAGAAATGGGTGCATATGTCACCACCAACATACCTTGCTAAGGGAGTTTTGAAAACCAGACCTTAGGGATCAGTATTTTAACATTTAAGGAAAGGGGCAGGTATTTGAATCATTTATTCTTTTCCTCCCTTGATTGTTTGGCTCCCATCTATTGGATAAATCCTGCTTGACCCATAACCAGTTTTGTCTTGTGACACTGATATCAAATATATTACACTCTTACTACTGTATAATAATGGCTTGTGACACAAATGTCATATATCATATTATACTCTCTCCTTGATGATAGATTGTGCCACTGATATTAGATATAATTTTACACTCTCTCCTGTAATGATAGCTTTACATATTAGATATTCACTTCAAAAAATTGTTTTACTAATGTGAAAAATCATATAAACACTGAATAAAATTTAAATGTTAACCACATTCGAATAATGTGTCTTGCCATTGATGCCTAAGGGGATGTACAAAAAGAATGAAGATCAAAATTAATACCCAGACTACATTATTGAATTTGATTGCAGCATCAGTAGTGAATAACAAACATTAGCTAAAGTATTACTACTGTACCTGTATAATAGACAATACAGTACATTCATTTCTCCCTCCTTCAGTTAGTGCACTGGGTGGCCAAGTGGTCTGAAGCATATTGCCTTTATGGATTGTTAACATCTTATATCTGTGTCTGTTAAAGTCTTGGGCCAATGAGGATATTTAAGAAAGCTTGCCAGTAGCTTACAGTGGGCCAGTGTTTTTTTTTTTCTAGGGTTCTCCTGGGTTCTTACTCCACTCTATAATAATATACTGCCCAGCATGCATAGCCTGTTGTGTGCTGAAAAATTAAATTAAACCTACAACCGCAAGAATATTCTCCTTCAGCTGATATTGATCCTTCAAATAATGGAACAATCAGTAGGTTCAGTCGAGTGGTTTCATTTGATGACTTGTTTAGCTGATAGTAGATTGGAACGCATTAGGTCTGAGATGAATACAGCTGATTCAGCCTGCTCCACCCCTATGTTTAGTTTCATTTATAATAACATGAACTGGCAGACAGATACTTTATATGTCAACCTTGCAACCTCTCTCACCATGAACACTTATTTCAGCAGTATGATATTTCAGCTGATTTTGAAGCAACCAGAAATTTGTATAACACCATGGCTGTATCGTTGTATTATTCACTCCTTGAGTTTTTTATCACTAGCAGAAGATAAATTATTTTATTTGAAATAAAAAATATAACATAATCCTTTAGCCGCTTTTATCCCCACCCCCAATAAACTTAATGTTGGTTTTTTATTGCTATTGACAATCAAATCCTAGTTGCATTAAAGAAAATATTATTCCAATTAACTACAACAGTTGCAGAACTTTGTTCTTAATGTTATTGCTTACCACAAACTGGTGGTGATGGTGTCATATGTTCCAAAAGAAGGCTGCTTCAGCTGCCAAGAGGTATATAAACCTTACGCTGACAAAAAGACAGAATGATCTCTTGAACCATTGCATCAGCCAGAACCTTACCCTCAGATGAGTTACCATGGTAACAAAACCAGTCAGGGATGTTCATCATCCTAATTGACCTTTGGGTCAAGTCAAAGGTCACTGCTTGCATTTTCTTTTACTTAGTGAACTTAAAAACATAGTGACTTGTACATATCAAGTGAATTTCAGTCAGACTTTAGTTGCATTCCAATAAGCAAGTTGATAGTATTACTTACTGAATTTATAGTCAATGATCTTAACTGTTTCTTTTTGTTTAAGCTGTACTGGTTTCTCAGCCTAATAACACAAACATTAGTATGAATGTATTAGTATCAAATCCAGTTTATGAATACATTCAAAGCATGCTTTGAATGATAGATTGCTGCATATATGATAGATCTTTGGATAATACCCTTTCTTGGACAAATTCCAAATAGCAGGAATTAATGATGTATTGATTTATTATCCCACACATCACTGAGCTTTTTCCTTCTTGCAACTTAAAACTGATCCAGTTTGAAACTAATTCAGCCATTTTGTATCAGCCTCTAAGCAATTAATTTGAATACTGTTGCATAGTTCATTCCAGAAAGATTAACCTTTCATCAGCATGCATGTTGTTTGTAACACCTTGGATCTCTCAACGGAAGTTAACTATACCCATGGAAAAGAGAAAAGGAAATAAACATCCATGGCATCGGTTTTCTGTGGATTTTCATTCAATTCTGTAAAAATGACATTACCATCAAAGGTGATCAAATATTGCATCATATTTTCTCCCAATATGTTCAGTGTTTAAAGTCTTTTATGCAGTGATAATGAAATTGAATAGCTTTTTTTAAGTTTAAAATCTATCTTCATTTTAAATTAATATTTCTTTACAAGATTAATTGAAACTATCAGGTTCTTTCTCAAACGTACAAATATATAGAAATTTTCATAAATGTAATTGCCAGCCACAATAGTTTGAGATGGCTTGGTGTCCATGTTCTGACAGTTAGCAGTTTATTGTCAGTGACAATAGCTTATGAGATGGCTTGGTGTCTATGTTCTGACAGTTAGCAGTTTATCGTCAGTGACAATAGCTTATGAGATGGTGAAGGTGTCTATGTTCTGACAGTTAGCACCAGTTTATTATTCTTACTCCTCCTAAACTACCTGGAGGAATACCTTGAAACTTGTACACACGCTTTCTTCCCAAAGTCTAGTTGGTCCTGAATGAAAATGTTGCCTCTCAGACATCCATTATGGCCACCTTGAAAATCTTATAGCTATTTCTCCTTAACAGATTGTCACATCAGGGATTTTACTAAAAGACTTCTTATCATCTGTAGTTGATTCCAAAGGAAAATAGTGCCAATTTTAGAGAACCAGTATGGTCTCCATGTAAACCATTTGTAAGATCTTGTTTTTGCTATTCATTCTAGAAGGGTGTTAAATAAATGACTTCTTATAATGTCTAGTTGGTCTTGAATTAAAGTGGTTGCAATCGAAAATCCAGCATCACAGCCATTTGTGAAAATTGTTTCATCTACTCATGTGAACAGAAAGGTGTATTGGCATTAGATTTTAATCAAAAGACTTAATATGCTTGTAGTTGTCTCATTGAAAATACCAGTCTGTCATCCCATAGATCTGCCATCTTTAAAAAAAAAGATTATCATTGATTTTTAAAGGAATTAATATTATCTTGGGATTTTAATGAGGAGTCTTTTTATAGTGACTAGTTAAATGAAAATAATGTGGATCTGATACCATGGTGACCATGTTGAAATTCTTGTTTTTGCATCTTTGAATTATATGATCATGGTTGGGTTTTTATAGATGTGTAAATTTTACCTAATCACCCTGAAGGACTTTATGTCAACCTTGTGCAATTAAATTTGTTACACTTGATCGATTTTAATCTCTGGCTTTTTTGATCAGAAATCACAGGAGTGGGTGGGTGGGAGCTTATTGTTATATTTAGGGTGTAAAGAGTTGAGATCCATAAAGCTTAATATCAAATGATCTGGAAACATGGAACCAAAAGTAGTCTACAGAACTTATTGATGTGTACAAAATTCCAGATCAGTATCACATGACTGTTTACATCCAATCAAAACATAGAAAACTCAGACAGTTAAAAAAATTGGAATTATTATTAATTGGATAATTCTATCAAGATGGGGTTTGTACCTAAAGGCTTCTTAAGATGTCTGGTTGGTTGTAAATAAAAATGGTCTTAAATCTTACATCTATTGTGTCAACAACTGTCCATCTTAAAACCCTTACAGAATATCAAAGACTTACATTACTCAGCTTTAAAAAAAAGTCTTTCCTTGGATTCTTTTGACCTATGAGTCAGTACTTTCAAAAGACTTTTTTGTTTGTTACACATATACTAAAGATACAATTTATGTAATGATTATTTTCCAGCCTTTTAAAAAAATATTCTTGTGTTTCCTCTGGCTACTGGTCAGAACTTTTGCTTGTCTCTCTGTACATAAAAGATTGTCATCATTTAATGAGAAAGGTAGATGGGTACACCTGACAGGTACAGGTACATTGATCAGCTGGGGATGTGATCTTTTATCAGTGTCTTTATCCTAGACCCTTGCAAATAGTTTGATTGACTAATATTAGCTGGGGTTAAAGTTTTTTTTTTATACAAATTTGGATGTGTTTTTTTTCAGTATTTCTTTAGTTAAGCTGAGGTTTGGAATGGCTTTACAAAGATTTACAAAAGTGATTTACATTGTGGTGATGGTCTTCCTGACAAATACTCCATTACTTCATATATATAGTTCCACAAAATTTGCAGCAGAATTCTATATATATAATACACAATCGATCAAAAATCCTGGAGAAAAAAATTAATTCATTTGTATTTTGGTGGTGCTGGTC